TTTCTACTGTTCTCTTCCTGTCAGTGTCATGGTCTTCTAAGCTTAAATCCCACATGTGGCTACTGTTCTTTTACTCAATATATAAACTAACTAGCCTTTATATATATGTAGTGCTTTTAAAAGCCAGACTTCTGCTTTCAGACTAAAAGTACTTGATGGTGGTTATTTGTGTATAATTACGAAGGTGGCATTTTTTTTTCTTCTGTATCATCCTCCTTCCACAGCCACCCTGCCAGCCATCCTTTGGGCTTGGGCAGAGGTGATCATGTGGACCACTTGGGTCCTGGCAGGGATAACGGGAAGGATGATTCCAAGGAATACTTAACATATTTTCAAATGCAAACACGCACTCAGCTCCTTCTCTAAAGGAGCCCAAGGCGCCCTGGCTGGTGCGGCTCGGTTGGTTGGAGCGTCATCCTGTGAACCAAAGTGTCGCGGGTTCAAATCCCTGTCAGGGCACATACCCAGGTTGCGGGTTTGAAGAAGAATCGGAGAATTCTCTGAAAGGTTTCTTTGGAAGGGTCACAGTTCGTGTACTTCTCCAATTCATAGTATAGTAATAAACTAAGTTGTTCAAGGTCAAAGCAACAAAGGCAGGTCTTATTAAAGCACTTATTTAAAATTGTTTTTCTGACATTAATATTTTTGATTGATGATCCTTTTGTAAAATTTCTCAACATGTATCCAAAAGAGCATTTCACTGGCAACCTTTATTTTAAGCATTAAGCCAGCTTTGGATTAGAGAGGTACAATGGGAGGTGGTTAAATGATTTGGTGGATTTGTAAGTAAAAAACTGGTATTTCTTTTTTAAAAAATATATTTTTATTTATTTCAGAGAGGAAGGGAGAAGGAAAGAGAGATAGAAACATCAGTGATCAGAGAGAATCATTGATTAGTTGCCTCCTGCAAGCCCCCTACTGGGGATTGAGCCCGTAACCTGGGCAAGTGCCCTTGACCAGAATCGAACCTGGGATCCTTCAGACTGCAGGCTGACAGCTCTATCCACTGAGCCAAACAGGATAGGGCTCAAAAACCAATATTTCTGTTGTAGTTTTCAAAATCACAGATCAGCCAGTAAATACAGAACCCTCAAGTACAGCCTTCTATCTTTAGTAATAGCATGTAAGTATATGTGCATCTATGTGAGAGTGTGCTTTTGTAATTGAGTTATTGAAGTATTCCCTCCTGAAACATCCTTTAGACTTCCCATTACCATAATAAGGCCTGAATGGAAGCAGCTAACTCTGAACATACTCTCCATTTTCTCTGGACATGCACATTAAAACTGTGAACTAGGATTTATCATCCTAACTTTTCTAATCACGACATTACAGGAAGTTTTTCCTTGGTTTATCTGGCCTGGTGCTGCAAAACATTCAACTTATTTTAATACTAACTTAAGTCAAGTATGGTCAGGATATTAAATTTATTGCCAGTAATCACAGAGTTCATTTACTGTTTGATCTTCAGCACTTCATTTCAGTTATTTTGGGTCATGCAGTGCTTTTCACAAAGCCTCATCTCGCTGGCATCTGCTGCTGGTGCCCTCACTCCCGTCTCCATCGGGAGGACAAAATACCTCACCTTTAGACCGGGTTCAAACCCAGGTTCTGGGACAATAATTTTGATGTTCAGAGGAGTTTGAAAAGCTTTACATTAAGGTTCTAATCCTTAATTACATTAAGGTTCTAATCCTGGTTACAGTTAAAATCAACCTGAATACCTGGATTCTACCTGGGTAATTTGACTTAATTGGTACGGTGGAGAGCGGGAACATTGTTTTGTGTCTAATTGGATTCCCTCCATTCTTGGCTGATTTTTAATATACAGAATTGAGACCCATTGTTTTAGAATTTTACCCTGGGTCTGAACCTCAAGACATACAGGTTGCAGATGTCGTCCTGACCTGGCACCCAATCTTGACTAGTCGGCAATCTGTATCTTCAAGACGAGGCCAGGCCCTGCTGTCCCCTGTGCCTTCCCTGCCTACCTGCTCTCGCTCACCTTGTGTGCTCAGCACCCAGCACAATACCTACAGGAACAAAGTAGGCATTTAATAACCACTGTGAATGAATTAATGAATGCTAAACACCCCTAGAGAAATTAGCTGAATTCAAGTAACATTTTGAAGCTATCATTTTCAAAACCACGTCTTGGAAGTTCCCCTCTTTGACTGCTTTATTAGTTTTCTCTTACATAACTACCACAAACTTAACAGCTCGAAACTACACACATTTATTATCTTGTAGTTTTGCGGCATGTGTCCTCTGGGTCCTCTGCCCGAGTCCTTACCAGGCTGAAGTCAACGTGTGGTCTGGGTCTTCCACCTCTTCTAGGCCACACTCCCCTTCCAGCTTCCTGGTGCTTGGTCAGATCCAGTTCCTTCCAGGCATAGGGCTGACGGGCCTGCTTTCTTGCTGTCAACAGGGGGCGTTTTCAGCTCGTAGAGTAGGGGTTCTCAACCTGTGGGTCACGGCCCCTTTGGTGGTCGAATGACCCTTTCACAGGGGTCGCCTAAGACCATCCTGCATATCAGATATTTACATTACGATTCATAACAGTAGCAACATTACAGTTATGAAGTAGCAACGAAAATAACTTTATGGTTGGGTCACAACCTGAGGAGCTGTATTTAAAGGGCCAGAAGGTTGAGAACCACTGTCGTAGAGGCTATTTGCCATCTCCTGTCACCTGATTGTCTCCACAACATGGCAACAGCCTTCTTTAAAGCCAGCAGGAGAGTATTTGAAGAAATAATGTCCCAAATTTGTTGAAACGATCTATACAGCTAAGCAGCTCAGGAAACTCCAAGTAGGATTTCAAAGGAGCCGCACCAGACACATCACAATAAAACCGTTGAGAAGTGAAGACAGAGAATCTTTAAAACAGCCAGAGGGAGCAGCTCGGCACACCCCAGTGGTCCTCAGGGCGACCCAGCCGGGTTCAGTTACATCTGCAGAGTCGCTTCTGCCCTCTACAGCTCGGGCCATGCTCCGTCTTAGTCATGAGCGCCCTTCTCTGCAGGAGGGGACTGTGCAGGCTTGTGCAGCAGGAGACAGGAACCGCGGGCCTTCTCAGTGTTTGGCTTACCAAGTGGGTTGGCAGGAATCTTTCATAGTTACCTGGTTAAGTAGGGAGCTTTATAAACTACCTGCCAGTCGTGATAAGGTTCAACTTAGCAGATGCACCTTCGCTTTCTGGGAGCCGTCTGTGAAGGCTTTCCGTTGTGCCTGCCCAGCACCAATGAGTAAGCGCTGCAACCTGATTCAAATAGGTGTCCTCTGCCCCAAACTACTTGCCCACACATCAGGGCACTGCAGGGTAAGTCGTCCCAGAGTCGCTTTATACGAATGCTGTGTTTTCATGTACCATCATTTTACATTATGTAATATAGATACTGTTGTAGGTGATGCAGCTGCCTTACCCAGCATTGGAGATGTATTTGAAAGACTGTCTACAGCAGTGGTTCTC